TACACTAATTGAAGCTTTCTAATGTCGGGTGCCCATTGCTGATGGGATCGGGTCTGGGAGGGGCGATCGCCCGACTTGTCGCCTGAAAACAAACTCGGTTGTTTTTTAGGCGACGAGTCGGGCCCGATCGACTCGTCCCACGATAGCCGCTTTGCGCCCTCAATCTGGCTAGCAAACCGAACCGACCCGACCCGATCCCCAAATGGACACCCTGTATAACTCTCCTCTGTTGAAAGTCGAAGCGATTCAAGGAATAAGCAACAATACCCCCAATAAAGCGTCCAATAACCTCAATAATTACGAGGATGATGCTTATTAGAACATGATATATCTGAATTGGATACGATCAAACCGACGTACAGCCAGAAAGCTATGACTGCAACCCACCGGCGCCACTCCTCCATCCGATAAATCTGGCGAGTAGGTACCTGATTATGGTGGAGGAATGTTCTGAGGGAATGTAGGAGACGCCCGTGGAGGGGGGGGGGAGGGGGAGGAAGACTGTGTAATGTTTTTGACCGCAGTCATAACAAGGCAGGGTGGGGGTGGGTGGGTGGAGGGTGAATATTATGTAGTGTAGTGAACTGTAACACTGGCACATAGGGTGTGTGAGGGGGAGAGAGTGCAACGTCTTTGTCACAGGCTCACGGGAGACAGAAAGAAGGGGTGTTGGTTTTTAGTTTCAGTAGATGTTTTACGGCGCTCGAAAATGCATGAGGTCATATGAGCACCAAGCGGTGGATGTTAACAGAGAAGTCCTTACAGGGAATCAGACTTACTCTGCTCACCTCTCTAGCTTCAACAGCAAAAAGTCCGCTGCGACTATCAAGGCACCCCGGAAATAGCAGGTCACAGGAGTGTGACAAACATACGAAAGAAGTAGAGCAAATGACGATGGTAAGGATAAGGAAATAAAAAGCAGCAGTTCCCTGTTGCAGTACAGGCAAGGTCATTGATAAATCAACCCATTTACAATTCTACATGCAAAAGAACATGTTAATGCCCCCCCTCCCCTTTTGGGAATGGCCTAAAAACACTTAAGTCA